GTTGAATTTGCTTTTTTAAAAAAATTATTTTAAATGTCTCTAGGGACTGGGTAATACAGTAGGGAATACCATGCTTTGTTAAATATCCCATCCTTCTGACTGCAATCCATTTTTATGTAAGGTAAGTAGACACCCTGTGGACTTTCTGGGAAGTTGAAGATCAGAAGGTTTGATAGAGTTGACGGGATAGGAGATAGACACTACTTAATTACCATTGCAAAAGAAAAAAACACAACCCACTCCCTTAAGTGATTTTCAAGTAGGAAGCAGACAAGAGTTAATGTTTTTGACAGAAAAGGTAGACTCCCTTGTTTAAACAAGTTGTCTCCACGCAGTCTGAAATAAAGTGTGGAGGAAGAAAAATTACTTCTGAACAAGATTACACACTTTTAGTCAAGAAAGCATTTCCTATGTTATGAACATAGAATTTCTTGCCTTGTTACCTGAAATTTCCATGCTAAGGTGTGACCCAGTGGTCAGAGACACATGGTTTAATTCATCTGAACTGTTTTACAAACACTAGCTGTGTGAGGAGCAGTGTGCTTTGGTGCATTGAGACGTTTGTCATCCAGTTCCTCTGCTGAGGGAAAATAGGAGATAGGCACACTCCCTCACCTGCATCCACCTTGCGTGGACTTAGGGACCATGTCTGCCAGGGAGGTTACAGTCTGACCAGGCAGCTGCAGAACCCAATAAATACATAGCTGTGCCAGCTATGGTGTGGACAGGGAGTTGAAGATGCCCCATCCTTTAAAGTGTTGAAGGGCAGGCTGGATGGGTCTTGAAGCAGTCTGGTCTAGTGAAAGGTGTTTTGGCCAATGGCAGGGGGATTGTAACTAGATGATCTTTGAGTTCCTTTCCATCCAAGCCTCATTTCCACAGCTGAGCTGTGGTCCTTGGGATGTCCATCTGCTCAGAGACCCCCTCAGGGTATTCAAAGAGAGCACGTGGTTCTGTTGTGCTGCCCAATATGGTGTTCTGCAGTGGACACAGCTTGTGCTGGGCAGCCTCAGTCTGGTAAAACTGCATTTCTGCAAGTGTACCAGCATTGGGTCTTGGAGCTAACAGCCCATGCTCACCTCATATAATAGCACCCTGAGTCTGGTAGAAACAGAACTAGGCAGGGCTTGGAACTAGCACTTACGAAAAGAAGGATACTGGGCTTCACTGAGTAGGCTACTCATAGAAAGCTTAAATTAAAATTTAAATTTTAAATTTTCCTTCCAGAGATTAAATATTCCATCCAGAGAAGTCCCTATTTCTTCTTTTTACTCATGATCTCTGTTAAATGTGGCAGTTTCCTCTTCACTGCATGTTATGCCTTCAGGCATGTATGCCTGAGTTGAGCTTTGCATTTTCCCAAACAACAGCACTGGTGTGTGCTGACAGTGCTTTCTACTTTGCATGCTGCAGTCTCATGCCCCCCTCCTCAGGCTTGTGGTTCAGGGAGGGATTCAGCCCACAGAACTAGCACTGGTTTCCTCAGTGCTTGAAATGCTAGCCAAGGACCCCAGTCTTAAGAGCTGATCTTCACTAATCAGTGAAGGAGACAGATATCTGTGGGATCGTAGGACAAACTCGGGGGCAATTGCTTCATTTAAAAAGCAGAGTTGTTGAATTCTTGCTGAAACCTTTATGTGACCATGAGCGATGTATGGGGTTTTTTTCAGTTTGCCTTTTTAGCTTCATCAAAAGTGATCCAGAGTCAATTTTACCTGTTGCAGTTTATTGCAAAGGGCAAATGTGCTTGCTTTTGTTCCCCCAGTCTAATGTTAAGTCTTTAATTGAATTTTGTTTACTTGTAATCATGCTTGAAATACATTTATTGTCCTTGACCAAAACTAGTTTCTTCAATGATGTCTGTATTCATATTTTCATTGAAGGAAATACATGTGATGGGTTGGCTTTGCATCATAGGTGTTGGGCCCTCCATCACCTAAGAAGTCTGTGACTTTCTCAGTTCTTTGAACTTTCAGAGAAAGGCAAAGGAGTTTGAGATCAGAGTGAGTCATCTTGTGATCCAAATTGCTGGTGTGCTTTGCTTCTTTTCTCTAAACAGTTGCTCAGAGGAAATGAGTTAATCAGAAAACTGCCCCTGCAAAACAAGTCAAAGTTGAAGAACCAGCATTTCAGTGTCAGTAAGGTGCGTGTTTTGTGTGAATCCTGAGGTCCTACTGCTCTACACTTTTTCCTGTGTGATCCAAACAGAGAACAATTATTGGGAACAATAAATTACCATTAGCTGATATGGATAGTTCAACTACTGATCTCCTTGCTTTGTGCATACCTTGCACAAGTGAAAAGGAGTGAAAACAGGGTGCGTGTGGGGAACATGAGAAACAGCATTGTGTAGGAAGTGCATAGCTGTTCCAGAGTACAGCACATAAGAAAAAATTTCTTTCCAGGTGGCATGGATCATTTGTAAGTGCCAGGAACACATCCTCTGCAGGATGTCTGGTCCACTAAGAAGTGAGGAAGACTGTGTTTCACTCGGTCTACATTGATAACACTTTAGCTGTAATGCAGGGACCGCATTACCCACTTCTCCTTCTACCTCCAGCAGCTGGTTCTGGAAAGGTTCCAGCGCCACTTTTAGCTCTTGCAACCCTCTGGCAAGTCACAGAAAGGTCTAGAGAGAAAAGCAGATATCCATCTCCTCACTTTGTGTCTCGATACTGCAGCTACCCTGATTTATTTACTGAGAATTTACTGGTAAGAACGAGACTTTTCCAGCCTAACACAATTATACACAAGGGCTATCTCTGTGGCCAGTTAAAGCCACAGAAATTTATTTCAGCAACAAGTTTCTGTTTTTAAGCAGGAATAGGTGATCCTTTTTCGCATTGAAAACAGACAGTTCTGGACAGATAATTGTCTTCTGGCTGAGTCTAGAGGTGAAGCATATTTTTCATGGCAGTTTCAGCCCTGTTTTTTCCTGGATAGAAGGATTTGGGGACATAACCACCTTTTGGGGTGGAAATGGTCACAGCTGTGAAAAAATTAGCAGCCTACAAACATTGGTAATAAAATCTGTGCCAGATCATTTTTACTCTTGCTTTATTCCTCTATAGCTGTTGGACTCCCTGTATTTCCAGTGACAAAGCTTACTTTGGCTTTTCGATATCTTGAGGCTGGGAAAGTAGAGACCCAATGCTTTTTACTGCTCATCCTGCACCTGGCATGCAGAAGACTCAATTAAATTTCTTTTTCTACCTATAGAAATGACTTTGGGGATGTCATTTTACTTTTCTGTGCCTCAGGCTTCTGCACTCCCAGGAATGACAGCGGCCCCATGGCAGAGTTAGAAGAGGTTGTGGAATAGTAGTAGTAAGGTTCTGGGGTAAGCTGGTTGTTCAGGAAAGCAGATGTCTTAAGGGAACTGTGCTGCTAAGCTCTCTTGCAGCTGCTGGGCCTTTTGCCTGAATTCAACCCGACCAGAGAGAAAAGGCCATACGTCCCTTTGCTGGCCTAGAACCTCTCCGTGGAACGCCCACATATTTTGTTACCAGGCGAGACGCCAAATAGCCTTTCCCGTTCCTTGGCAGTGCACAGCAGGGGCAGTCCCCTCTTTCAGCAAGCCCTTGTCTGTTGAGCTGCTCTTGCTAAACAATGTTTTTTGCAGAGTTAACAAAGCCATGGATCTGATCTCAACACTGACACCCAGGGTCCTTTCTGTAACACTGCTGCTCTGGGGCAAGGCAAAGAAGACAAAAAAATCTCAGCACGTCGTGTTTCCCAGAAGGCCAAGAGAGGAGCAAAGGTGATGTTCTGGGAGCCTGAGGGCTGACAGAGATAGGGGCATGGGTGTCATGCTCGCGTCTGGGTTAATTGGTACAATGGGCTCGCAAGAGGTTGAGAGGACAAGCAGAGCCCGGCATCTCTGCCAGCTCACAGCCCTGAAACCGGCTCCGGGAGCCAGCGAGGGATTTGCCACCCGCGCCCCAGAGATCCCCAGTGGCTCTCTGCCTTCACGTCCCCCCCGAGACGATTTTGCGCGCAGCTCCAGTGAAATCCACCTTCTCCCTCCCGTCACTCCCTCTCCTGCCCTGGCGGTTTCCTGGCGCCACCTTGAGGGCGCCAGGGCTTGACCTCGCTGTGCTCACCCGAAGGCTGTGATAAGCAGATACAAACACATACTGAAACTGCTGTATGATTCCAATGTCCATCTTTTGCCTACGGCATCAGTTTGCTTTCAGAGTCTTGACAAGACTATACAATCACAAGGAGAAAAGAGCATGAAAAAGTTCTGCTTTGGTAGTACCTGAAAGGTTTGAGGGTTTGTGATGGTTACTCACCCAAAGGGACCCAGAGAAAGTGCTGAAATAGTAAAAATAGTAAAAAGTAGTTTTGAAGGAAAACTTGAGGAATTGGCAGGAACCCCCTCTCTGCTACCCTCCACAGGTGTTTGTTTTTGTCAGGCTGGCTCCCCCAGTACCAGTCCCAGCCAGATCCTGTTCCACAAAATCCATCCCCACCACTGAAGGCATGCGGGGGAAGGGGTCAGATGTAAACCCAGTGTAGGCATGTACCTTTCAGAGGGGCTCCTGAGGAGAGAAAGGGGAGGGGAGAAGAGACTCTCCTGTCTCCCGAGATTCCCTTCCCTCCTTCAGCAGCCCTATTCCAGTCAGGAAGCACAGGGAGACAGGGAGCACAAAGCACTCAAACTTGAACCTTGCAGGAGCCCAGCTCTGCCTGCCCATTCTGGGGGTGGAGGAAGATGAAACACTTTAGGCAGGGCTTGAGCTGCTTCTGATTTCCTTGCAGCTTTTGCAGTGGGGCAAGAATTCCATCCCTCCAAGCTACTCACCTTTTGAATGGATGAGTGCCTGGGTGGCAGTTCGAGGTCACTCAAGTGGCTGCTGCAGTTTCAAACAGGAGCTGTTGTTTCATTTTTCAGGTTGCTTAACCCCCTCCCAATGGCAATAAAGCAGGTGAACAAGGACGCAAAAAGATTACCTAGGGGACCAAAAGCTTGGAAAAGGATGAAAGAAACACTCTGATTACAAAAAAAAAAATTTATTTTTGACAGCAAATAAACACCCCCCTGCCCCCCAAATTTGCAGGCCGATGATGCTGTTTCAATGTGATGAGGTGCTGGGCCCCTGGGGAGAGAAACCAGAAACCTACAGACAGTGGGAGAAGGCTCCTGTCCATCCTGTCCCACTGTCTGCAGTGCCCAGGCCATGCCGCTGGGTGTGCTCAGAGCCCAAACCTCCCAGTCCATTCTCTGTTTTGGAGGAGAGCAGGATGGCAGGATGTGCCAGCCACCTCCTCCAGCTAACCATGGGAGATCAACCTCCTCAGTTGATTCTGCAAGAGCAGAATGCTCGTGTGCCTGCTGCCATCTTCCAAAACCCGTTCTGGCACCCATGCCATGAAGCTGGGTACCCACCTCAAGAGACCCACTGCTGGAAGAGAAGCTGATCCCAGATAATGTTCTTGTCCATCTTGAAGGGTCATGGCCAGAGTAGCACTGGCAGTGGGATCAATCCACTCCACAGTCCCAGCACTTCCCAGTCTGGTCCAGGCACATGGTAGAATCTTCCTTTAAAAAACAAATAACAATTGCATGAAAGTAAATTAAAACCAAGACTTGGAAACAAGAATAATGTAAAATGTTATCAATGTATCACAGGCCTGGGGAAGGTTTGACTACTCCAAGCAAGGAATAAAGCTCCCCATAGGCAGGGAAAAACCCCAACTTTCCCAGCCCCAGCCCTTCCTCAAGGGCCTGCAAATGAAAACGGCCGGGACGTGGGTGCAGAACTCCGTCCTCTGCCACCTTGCCATGTTTTTGTTGGGCTGGCTTCCCCAGCCTGGGCCAGGGTGGCTGGCAGAGGCTGTCACCAAGGCCAAGAGCCAGCATGGTTCCCATTCCATAACACCCACCCTCTCCCCCACCAAAAAGCTACTTGGCAGCCAGCTAAAAAATTAATCCCACTCTCCTCAACCCCAGCAAAGCAGGGAACCTCTGGTGCCCAGCCAGGCTGAGCCCTCAACGCCTGGGACTGGGAGCATCCCCCCAGCCCCGACCGGGTCTTTTTCATCTTTCATCTTTTTTCATCTGGGTGCAGAGCGTGTCCTCAAGGAAGGTGCTGCAAACAAAGCCAATCAGCTTCGCCCCACTGGTGCCCATATCCCACGATGACGTTCTCCAGCTTGATGTCATGTTCCAGGACACCACAGTTGTGCCCCAGTTTGCAGGAGGACCACGATGCCTTTAAGCTGCAGAGGGGATGTTTCCCCTTTTCCAGTGTGTGGGAACTTTACCAGACTGCCAAGACTTCTCAAATACGATGGAGAGTGCTCAGCCACTTCCTCCACAACTTCCCCCAGCACCGGCAGAAGCATCTCATCAGCTATGCTCCCTACTCTGCTACAGTCACAGGGAAACCGTCTGCTTTTCTTGGCTTCTTAATGCCAAGAGACACGTGGATGGGAAGAAAAGCTGGCCCCGGACAATGTCCTCATCACTGTAGAAAGTAAGGTCCCTGCAGATCACTTCATAGAGCAGGATGCCCAGGGACCAGATTGCTGCTGAATGGCCACTGTAGCAGTGGAAGAGGATCCATTCTGGTGGGCTGTACTCTGGTGTTCCTATGGGACACAAGCAGAGCTCATCAGGTGGATGCTGCCCATTCCCAGCCCAGGCGATGCCCCACTGGCCCCCTGCCCGGTTCCACCGCTGCTGGACATTCCCCGGCTCGGGATGCTCCGCGGCTCCCGCTGATCCCTCGCCCGCTCCCCCAGCAGCGTCCCGGCTTCCACCCTCCCGGGCCTCGCTGCATCCCCGTCCGGCACGCCCCGGCTTCTTCCTCTGGCCCCGCTCATTCACCAGCCTGACCCACTCCCAGATGCGATCCCAAGACACGCGTTCGATGGCCACCTGCAAACCAAGGAGCGCCGGGCTGAGCTCGCTGCCTGCCGCCCTCCTCTCTCCTCCGACCCCTCCCTGCCTCTTACCGGGGCGCCGTCCGCGAGGCGGGTCCCCGAGTAAACGCTGCCGCAGCCGCCGCTCCCCAGCAGCGGGCCCTCCCGGTAAAGCTTCTCCGGCCATGCGGGAGACATTGCGCTCCCCGCGTTCCGCCCGAGGGCCCCAACCTCCCGGGGCTCTGCTTCCCGATCTGCTGCACCGGACACGGGCGGCTCGGGGCCGACGGCCGAGCTGCCGAGCGGCGGAGCTCGGGCCGGGGAGCCCGCAAAGGAGGCGGCGGGAGCTGGGCGGCAGCGGGGCTGGCCGGGAGCAGCGACGGAGCGACCCCGGGCGGGGCCGGAGCAGCTCCGGGAGGAGCCGCAGCCGGGGCCGGGACAGGACCCGGGCCAGGCGGAGCCAAAAGACGGTGCTGCTGCGGCGGCCCGCCCAGCACCGCCACAGCTTGCAGGGCGAAAACCCCGCGGAGGCAGGACCGCCTCGGGCCGAGCGCGGGAGGCGAGGGGATGGCCCCGGCGAGGGGCGGCGGGACGAGCCGTTCCGGGAGAGGGAGGAAAGGCGGAGAGAGGGAGCGGAGGGGAGGGGAAGGGAGGGAGTGCGAGACCGAGAGGGAGAGCGAGTGGAAAATCGAGCACGAGCGCAAAACCGATCGGGAGAGTCGCTGCTGCTGCTGCGCCGCCGCCGCCGGAGAGCGCGGCCGCCCGTCCGGGTCCCCCCGCCAGCCCCGCGCGCGAGGCTGGTTTGGAAATAAGCGATAAATCAGTAGTCTATGGAATATCTATAAAATAATAAATAATAAATAAAGAAATCGAAGTGTTACTTCGTGGGTTTCTTTCTTCATTGGGTGAGATGAAGCATTTCATTGGGAAGAATTCCCTGACAGCTGCGGGAGAGTTTACACGAATGGACTGTTCGATTTTGAAGTAGAAAATGTAAATCGTGTCACTAATATCATCTCTTTTCATCCTCTGTTTAAATAGTTGTCATAGGTTATCTTGTTTTAAAGAAAAAAAAACCCTGCTTGGAATTTTTTCCCTTTACCACTGTGAAAGAAAGGTGTTGAGGGAGGGAGGGGGGAGGAGATGACCGGAGTGAGACACACACACAGAGGGACTGGCTGACAGTCCCACATTCCAAGCTGGTGTCTTCAGAAGATTGTAGGGGCAGGTGAGTTTTTTTTTTTCCTTCGGGAGACGGCACTTTACTTTTGCTCTTACTCAGGGAGGGGGTGTGTGTAGAGAAAGAGCTCCAGGGTTCATTTTGTTTTCGGCCAAGTCATCTAGCTGCCTTTGGCCCCGGTTCGCCTCCGTTCCCTCACGCCCCGTTCTGCTCACGGCCCGGAGCTGCCTCGGATTTCATCGGAGAAGCCGGTACCATCTGCAGAGGAATTTCTGAGGGGAAAGGCTGTTCTTCCCCTCACTTCCTCCTTCTCCGTGCCGGCGGCAGCTTGCACCCCTTGACAAGGAGAGGAAGTTTTAGCCAGATCCTTTGACAGCGTGAGCCCACAGGAGGAATCCCCCCCTTCCCGTCCGGCTCCTCCCTCGCGCCAGAGCCCAACAGCGCCCCCTGCCGGCCACAGAGAGCAACTGCAGCCCCGCCCTCCGGGAGTCCTACAGCGCCCCCTGCTGGTCGTGGTTGGAATTGCGCCGAAAGGCGAAACGTCCTGAGCTGGTTTTGGTGGTAATTTGGGTGCAGGATTATCGTGGGTTTTTTTCTTTTGTTGTGTTACCTATACACATATATTCTTTAATAAAGGGCTGTTATTTTTTCTTTCTCCACATTTTCTCGACTGGAACCTCTTAATTTCGGATTTACAATTGCTTAGAGGGAGGAGCTTAGTCTTCCTCATAACTCGCCCTCCTCAGCAAACACTTCTGTCTCGTTAAACTGGGACAACAGTCTTGCAGGCTGCTAAGGTACTTTTTCTGGAATGGAGAACTTCGTCAGGTTTCTCTTTTTGCCAGAGATGGAGAATGGTAAATGTTATATAGAATCATGGAATCATTGAATGGTTTGGGTTGGAAGGGACCTTAAAGATTATCTAGTTCCAATCCCCCTGCCATAGGTAGGGACACCTTTCACTAAATCAGGTTGCTCAGAGCTCCATTCACCTTGGCCGTGAACACTCCCAGGGATGAGGCATCCACAAATTCTCTCGGCAACCTGTTCCAGTGCCTCACCACTGTCAGTTAAGAATTTTTTCCCTAATATCTAATGTAAACCTAGTCTCTTTCAATGCCTTTTTAAAGCTGCATGGGTAGCTTTCCTTTCTTCAGCTGAGGGTGAGGAAGGAGCTGAAGAGCACATGGGATCCTTGAACCATTGCCCTCTTGCAATCCTTTATGCAGAGGGCAAGCAAAGAAAGGAATGGTTGCAGTGGAAAAATGTGCTTTTCCAACAGCAAGGTGAGCTGTTCCATGTGAACATGTAGAGCCAACAGTATGCAGTAGCAGTCAGCCTGTAAATAACCTGCTCCACCAAGCATCTGCAACTTGATATGCAAAAGTGGAAAAACCACTCTGCCTGTGACCACAAATGCATCTATACCTGTTCAGATGCAGAGGAACAAACTTCCTCGAGGTACAAAAGGAAAATTACCTGAAACATTTGGCTACATCACTGAATGGTGTTCTGATGAGAAAGATGGATGGTATGGCAACTTAATGGGAATATGACAACTACACATATCCCCCCCCAAAAAAGCAGCTGGAGTACCAATCCAGTTTGGCAAGTTCTGTTTTTTCTTCAAAAGGTACCCCATTCCCATGATGGGGCATGACATATTTTTCCCATAATTGTTATTGCTTACATTTTTATATACAAAAAGAACATTTTTTTTTTTTTAAAAAGCCTTTCAGACCTAAAAAACCACTGGTTAGGATTTTCCAAAATATTAAAAATGTAAAAGCACTCTCAAAGTATTTCCTTCTAATATTAGGGAACTTCCTCAGCAGAAAACAGTTATGTACAGACAGTGCAGTATGTTCTCCATCCACACATTGGAGAGGTTTTACACTCCAAACAGCTTTCACTCCACAAGAGGCAAAAAGTGTGCTTCTGAAAAGGATTTTGTGAGCTATGGCAAATGTAATGTAAGGAAACATTTTTATTATTCATGGAAAATAACTTTCTGTAAGCAAAATTATCATTACTGTTACTTTAGTCATGTATCCCATTTCCACTAGAGTCTTGTTCACATTAAATCAAAATAACACAACATTTATTTCCAGTGCAGTACCCCATCGGCTGTATCCCATGATTACACTAAATTTTTGTTTGGTATTGACTGCTAATAGAAGCTTTGGGGGAAAATGCTATGAAATATAGGCAAATCAAGTGTTAATTCTGTATTTTTACACTTAAAATTGATTTTTATTTTTCCAGTCCCAGAATGCAGGCACAAAAAGAGGTAATGCATTAGCCTTGCCCATCTTGCTGGACATAAGAGCAAAGGATCTGTCATAAGGCAGAGCAAAGAACAAACGTGTCTCAGGCTGAGGGTGGATCTCTCAACTTTTGCATAAAGAGAAGCAGAAGAGAAGGGAGAAATGGAGAGACTTCCATTCCTTGAAATTCCCAGGCAAGCTAACAGAAGCACCATACACGAGCTTGTAACACTCAACCCACAATGACAGATACAAAAGGAATTTCAGCCAACTTGCATCTGTACTTAATAAGATGAATCAATGTCATTTTTTATCAGACATCATCATAAATTGGAAAAAATAAAAGCACTACTTAATTTTAAGCAAAATCTTTATTTTAGTTCGTAGGCTTGTTTGCATTAAAACCAGTTACTTCAAAATCAAATTCACATAAAACTCAGCATGTAAATAAGCTGAAGTTATCATTGGTCATTCAGCTGAAGTTATCCATTGCTGAAAGATAAGGGCTCCAAATGATATTTTAACAACCTTGTGGGGCAACAGATTAAACTGGGACAGCAGTAGCATCTCCTAGTATACAGGCTGAGGAATTAAACTGTCCCATTCCCTTTTGGTACATTTTAAAACACCAGCTGCAAACCAGTGCAGATAGGAATCCTGTGTCTAACATTAACCAGGGCAGGACGAGGGGGAAAAAACAGCTCTTCCCACACTGGTGTTTGCCATTTCTTCTTAAAGATGTGCATGCACTTCAACATTTGTTTTCAAAAACTTACTGAGCACATTCCCATCTCCTGGCTGCTGGCGTGATGGAGTTACATGTGTGTGTAACTTGAGTTACATGGTGGCTAGATTGAATGTCTGTGGAGGAAAATTAAGGGAGAACTTAGACTTATTTCACTCTATCACGCAGACTGATCTTCTTTTCACCCGCTCATTCCATTCTTTTGCAATAGAGATGAGTTCACTCAGTGATAGTTGCTTGTAAATAGCTCTTTTGGGTTTTGAGATAGCAAGATCAAAGTAATTTTACTTTGTTGTTGTTGTTAATCATGATGCAAGAGGTACAAGTGTTTTATCTTTGCTCTTTATTGCTTGGGGTTTTCATTACTGTTTCACCTTTCCCTAATGATACAAATCTCTTCCATGGCAAGGGTTGTTTCTATTGTCTGTACTAAGTGGAGGCTCTTATTTTCACCATTATGCTCTGAGTGAGCTGGTGATGGCAGTGTAGAGTCTGTCTTGGTGAGGGATGGTTGGGTGGATTAGGGGTTAGGAATTTGAGAATAATAGTAATAATATGGCCAGTCTTCGCGAGCAAAGATTTGGGAAAGGTCATTAACCCTTCGAGCCTGCGCAGTGGATTTTTTAGGTGAGACACAGCGTGCGCTGAACTGAGCCCACCCTTTAATCCTGAGGTTCATCTGCCGGGGCTCCTCTATATGAGTTTGGGGCACCCAAATTTACAATTTTAAGAGTTCGTGCTTGTAGTTCTCAGTGAGATGCTCTGGTAAAGTGGTTAGATTTAGGGCTAGGCATAGTGGGATGTGTAATCCCAGTTTGTGTCTTATCTTTCATGGGGTTTAATTAATCTAAGACTGTCTTGATGGAGGCTTTCAGTTCATCTTAGGCCTTAATGGCAAACTTGTGAATATCACAAAGAGTACATGCCATATGAGAGGGTTTTTTCTGTCTAATGGCAACATAGCCCAGGGAAATCCAGATAAAATGTTGCTTGTAACTCAAATGTGCCCAATGAGTCATAAAGCTCAGTGTTGAATTGTTGCTATGTTGGTGTAGGAGTATTTTAAAT